ATGCTCGCATATAGATACGGCAAACATAAATTATTGTAATGACTAATGAATGATCGTACGTTAACGATACGAATAAAAAAAAAAGAATATTAAAATCTAATTTTCCATTCGATTGCACACTTGCGCAACAGGCGCCGTCTAGTAAATTATTTGTGGGTCGGTGAGTGTAGTGTGTTTAATTGAATACATTATTTTATTTCAGTCTTCCGTGTACGGTTTTGCATATCCCAAGTTATTTGAGAWTGGGAACTTTTAACAAAAGGTGAAGAAGTAAAATATTTACAGTACTCGTGAACGCAGCAAATAGCAATAGAAGCTTACTCGACTGTAAGTTTACCAAACCATTTGGTGTGTTGAGAAATCGATGAGCCCTTCAAGGTATAGATAATARAGGTTAATTTATTTTATCTGTTATAGACACTATCACTATTATCAACATTTTAGTTCAAGTTAGGCCAGGATGTGAGCAGTGWGGTAGAATGGTCATACAGCTGGGTATCGCAGTTATCTGTTCGGACCTTTCACAGTGGAAAAAATACTACCTATACTTTGTAGTCTACCCTGCCGTCCACTGGACCTACTCCGCTGGGAGTTACACACGTGGAAATTTTCTTCTAATAGAAAAAGAGGTGGCAATATGTTAAACATACTCTATACTTGTCCTATGTGAAAAGACATTGACAAACAGCTTGTCGGTCGTTTAAATCAATAAATACGAAAAAGTAAATTWAAAAAAAAAGATTAGTTTTCCTAAGCTTGTGGTGGCTGTATAATATAATTTTTAATCGTTGACATTTATAGCTTATATAWAKGTDGCTCATAGCTGGGTATTTTGTGTATCAACTACCTAAATGTAGCCAATTAAAAAGTAACTTTTGTTGTTAAGAAATTAACTAAATGTAATTTCATATTATGTTGTTTGGTGGGTGCGCCGCCGGGTGCGGGTGGCTCACAGGTCATTCAGCAACATCATTCATTTCGAAGATGGCCACAGTTGGCTTAGAATGCTTAGATTAAAGTTTTATGACGAGTATTAACATGCTTATTTTATTTAAAAATATACGCATTATGTTTTTATAAAAAAAATAAATAATTTTGGGTGTAAAATAATCGTGACCGGAAATATTGTGGCCCATCAGTTTGAGATAATACAATAATAATTAATAAATCTCGACGTTTCAAAAGCTATTGAGACTTCATATATTCTGTCTGAACTTATAAAAATAAAACATAGATRAATGTTCCTAAAACGATGTTGACGAGAAGAACGAATATGAAATCTATAGTCGCGCGCGTTACATTAATAATATTTAATATTATTAATTATTATTAATCATCACGGTCGTGTCAGAAAATTAAATGATACCTATTTTGAGCATACTTACCCCGTTCCGATTCCCAGTGCATTAACACTAATCTACGACGGTCAAATGACAACGCAACGTATAAAATATTATTACAATAGCGTAATATTGTAATATTACGATTTGATGGGTTATTAATTGCCGGCCATTATGTTCACGATGTCGCGGTGACGAACATTAYGTAAGTACGCGTATGCTTACCGCAGTCGTGGTTCAYGGGTTACCACTCACCGAGTGGGATCGTTGACAATTTCGCCGCAGTCGACAATATATAGGTAGACGTTAATATTTTTACGTCATGTGAATTCTAGATAAAGATTTTTGTGCGACAAAAAAAATGTGTCATCTGTACATCTGTTTATGATACATAATATTATACTATTGGAGTTTGATATTCCTATACAACTCAACGAATTTTATTGTTATAATTCGCGAGAGATGGAACTATCACCGCTGCAGCTGTTGTCGTTAATTGCAGCATCGTTGTGGTGTCACCCCGTCGTGTTGATGTCAGCCCGACGGAATCTCACTAGAAATGTAAGTATACAATATAATTTTATAATAGTATATAGCTAGATCGAAATCGAGTGACATAATCGCTTTTTGCAGAGAATGGGTTTTTGAGGGAGAGAGTCGTACCAGCGCCGGCCCTAGGGTGGAGGGGCAAGTGTTGCAACCACACCGGGACCTGCGCTTGTGTGAGTAGCGGGAGAGAAGTTTGTGGACATCGTCTAAGTATTTTATACAGTGATATATGTATTTTTTTTTTTTTRATTGAGAGATTGCTAATTTTAAAGCKTATGCAAATGAGCATGAWAAGTAAATGAATTTAATGAATAGACATTGGCTTGAATGACTTGAGGGGGAAACCGTTTTYAACATTAAAATATAATATATTTTAAATTAGGTTTATGAATATAATACGATTTWTTWWATTTTATTTAACAAGTCATTGAAATACAAAAATAATAACTGTCCRCCTTAAGACATGCACAATGTGTAAGAGGAAATTGTTTTGCATTCCGTTGAATAAACACAATATTTATCTTCTTTAATTATAATTCTTAATTGCGTCACTTAGGTCTACACACGTTGTAGTTAAGATATGTTCTCTACGTGTTGGGTTTAAAAAATGATAGAGCTGTTCACATACTATACAATATCTAAATGTCTTGTATTTATGAGTAATGAAAGTATGTAAATAAGGTCAGTCTCCTATTTTACGTCGTTACCGACGGCTTAAAGTCGATATATTTGCAAGCCTGAGCGTAAACTAGTTAAAAAGTTAATATTAAGTTAAAAGTTAAGTTAATTTTAACCTCTTAACTTAACTTTTTTAAATTTAATTTTCATTGACTTAATTTTTAATTTAACTTATTTTCATTGATATAAACTTAATAAATAACGAGTTACTTTTAATCAAATTCAAATTAAGTTAATTTATGAATAATTAAATAATAAATAAAATAAAATTATTATTGGCAATATATATATATTACATAACTATTTACTAGAATAGGAAACTAGAAATCTAGTTAAATTAATTTCTTGTTTCGTTAACCATTATTCTCCAAGAAAAATTAATTAGGTAAATAAATTTAAATGTATATATCGTGTATAGTGTATCGTATATATTATATAAAGATATACCATATCATACTGCGTGACATACGGGCCARGGGCGTCATTTCAATTTTTTTACTGTTGATGCCCACAGTTTTGCAGGCCATTTTAAATCAGTACCAGGCCATTAAACTTTTTTTTGGGGGTAGGGGTCAAGTGGAGAGACATTTTTTAGAATATTTATATAGTTTATTTAATATAATCTCACATATATATTATGTTGGAAATATCACAATTATTACTGTTTTAGACTAACTATGTAGGTACGTACTTTTAATGTATTTATATTTAAMCTTATTTTCTGGTTACCGGTGGTATTTATACTTGGTAAATAAATGTATAGATAACCTAACCTAACCTACCTTAATAATAAAATACCTAACCGAACTTAACCTATATGCATATTTTTTACAGCACTCAAASTACATAATATAGGCTAGCTTATAATAAAACTTGTAATTTATTATATAGGTACCTGCCCTTACTCACAATAGTACGATAAAACCGTTATATTGATAATACAATTTAGGTTAGGTTGTTGACAAATCGATACGGATATTATTTTAAATATGTTTGCGTCAAAAAAGGAAATTTTTGACAATTTACATTAATATATTGAATGCATAATACATTGAATAGTATTATATCGTATATATATGTTTT